AACACAAAATGTCCAGTCAATATTTGGCATGTGTTGAAGACAACATTTTGTTTTAGAAAGTGGAGGAGGTAACCGGGGGAACAGCATTTTTCACTTGATTCTTTCCAACAGGGAGGAGTTGGTAGCGGAGCTGAAGGTGGAGGCAGTTTGGGTGACGGTGACGGAAGTGACAGATTTCATGATTCTCAGGAAAGAAGGAGCGAGAGAAGGACAATGGACTGTAACAAACTCAGAGAACTGGGAGGTGAGGTCCCATGGGAAGAAAATCTAAGGGAAAAAGGAGTTCAGGAGACCTGGCAGTTTCTCAAGGAGACAGTACTAAAGGCACAACGGCAAACTACCCCGAAACAAAACAAAGATAGGAAGAAGAAGAAGAGAGCACTGTGGCTCCATCAGGAGCTCTGTAATGACCTGAAAATCAAAAAGGAATCCTCACAACGTGGAAAGCTGCCAAATTGCTAAGGAGGAGTACAAAGGAATAGTACACGCTGGTAGGGACAAAATCAGAAAGGCCGAGGCACCAAATGAGTTACACCGAGCAGGAGACATAAAAGGCCGGAAGAAGAGATTCTGGAAATACATTAGGAGCAAGAGTAAGAGCTTGGAAGGTGTTGGTCCTCTACTTAGCAGGGAAGGAGAGAAAATCACGTCAGAAAGGCTGAGGGGCTAAGGCCTGTTTTGCTTCAGTCTTCACTAAAAGGTGACGGTGACCAAACACTCAGCACACTTACCATTAACAGACAGGGGGAAGGAACAAGCCAAACTAGGGGACGAACAGGTTCAAGTCTATTTAGAGGAGTTACGTGGATTCAGATTGGCAGGGCCTGATGAAATTCATCCCAGGGTACATAAGGGAGTAACTGAAGCAATCTCTGAACCCTTAGCAATTATCTTCAGGAACTCCTGGAGGACAGGTGAGGGCCCAGAGGACTGGGGAAGGGCAGACACAGCCCCTTTCTTTAAAAAGGGGAACAAGGAGGACCTAGGGAATTATAGATCAGTCAGCCGAACGTCGATACCTGGAAAGATGCCGGAACAAATTATTGAACAATCAGTTCGAAAGAACCTGGAGAATAATAGGGTTCTAAGTAAAAACCAACATGGATTTGTCAAGAAAATCATGCCAAACCAACCTCACTTCCTTCTTTGACAGGGTTGATGTCAGTAAGGCTTTTGGCACAGTCCCACGTGACATTCTCCAAAACAAACTAAGGCCATGGGGTCTAGATGAAATTCCTATCTGGTGGGTTCGCAACTGGCTGAAAGGCCGCACCCTAAGAGTAGTTATCCAGGGTTCATTGTCAAACTGGGAGTGTGTATCTAGTGGGGTTCTGCAGGGGTCAGTCCTGGGTCCGGTATCATTTAATATTTTCATTCATGACGTGGATAATGGAGTGGAGAGGATGCTTATGAAATGTGCAGATGACACCAAACTGGGAGAGGTCCTGCTTTCCAGGAAACTGTATTGACTGGTATTAATTACATGGTCATATTGATAGTCTCATATCAGCTGTTCAATCATTTTCCCTGGGAGTGATGTCAGACTCACTGACCTAGAGTGACCTGGGTCATCCTGTTTACCCTTTTTAAATAATTACACAACTTTAGCTTTCTTTCAGTCCTCTGGAACTTCTCCAATTTTCCAAGACTTACAAAAAATGAATACCATTGATTTGGAGAGCTCCTTGGCCCGCTCTTTTAAAACTCTTGGGTGCAAGTTGTGTGGATTTGCTGATTTTAAAATGTTTAGCTTCAGTAGGTGCTGTTTAACATCTTCCTTCGTTACCGATGGAAAAGCAAGTAAGTGATCATCATGTATAATGTGGAGACATCATTCAGCTTGTTTTGAGATACAGACCAGAAATATTTATTAAGCATTTCTGCCTTTTCTACATCATTATTGACATTTTTACCACTCTGTCTCGAAATGGGCCCATACCATTGCTAATACTAGTATTGTTCTGATATATTGGATAAACTTCTTCCCTTCTTTAAGCCAATTGGCCATAGATGTTTTGTTGATACTCTGGGTGAGATCTGACCAGCCTCCCTCGCTGAGGTTCTCAGACGTGCTGGGGAGCTTTAGCCCACAGCCCACAAGCCAGTCCCATCCCTGTGCTGGCAGGGGAGACCTGCTAGGATGAGGAGGGTGTTGGGCTCACCGTTGGCTGAGGTTTATGGCCCTGCCCAGGGCAGAACGAGGGGCCAGGCTCCCTCTAGGCTGAAGGTATTAGGCCCATGCCCAGGAGACCAGTCCTTGGCTGACCCTTGTGCTTCTTCCTACATCCCCTTTCCACTCTCTGCTCTGCACCAATTGCATCAGGCGCTCTCCAGTCACCATCCCCCATCCCTAAGGTCTCCATCCAGCTCTTCCCTCTCCCAGGGTATCTCAGTGCTTGCTGGGATCCCCACCCCTCCGATAAAGCCCAGGCCCTACCTTACTGCATCAGGAGAGATCTGCACTGCCCCTGCCCGCAGGTGCCCTCGGTGGTACACAGGGGTGCAGCCCATCACATTCCTCCCCTGCTGACTGGCAGCTGCTGCAGCCAATGGAAAGCTCAGGCTGATTGTGATGTCAGGGCAGTGCCCTAGGAGGTTACAAACTCTTGATGTGCCACTCGGAGAGTCACAGAGGCGAAGGCCAGGAGGGACCTTTAGATCACAAAATCTGACCCCCTCTCTAGCCCAGGCCATTGCATTTCACCCCGTCACCCCTGCCTGGAGCCCAGGGACTTGTCCGGCAGAAGCATCATCCAGGAAGGCACAGGGCCGGATGGGAAGCCAGCCAGTTGGCAATGCCCATGGCTAATCACCCGCACGGTTAATTTGTGCCTCGTTTCTCATTCAAATTAGTCTGGTTTCAGCTTCCAGGCCTTGGCTCTGGTTCTGCCCGGCTCCACTAGACTAAAGAGCCCGTTAGCACCCACCGTGTTCTCCCCCGAAGGTCCTGACACACGCAGGCAAGTCACATCTCAAGCTTCATCTTGAAAAGATGGAGCTCTGTAAGTCTCTCGTGGCAAGCCATTAGCGCTGGCCCTCAGTCCTTTCTGGGGCTCTTTTCTGCCCCATCTCCAAGTTTTCTACATCCCTAGAGAGGATCCTCCTTTCAGTTTCTTGTGGGGGGGGTCTCGCTCGCTATTAACCCTTTCACTGCTAACGTGTGATACTGTTTGTATTTATTATCCAGACATTGCCCTGGTTGTGCAGAACCCCTGACATATACGTGCTCCATCGGGTCACACAGGACACCTAGTCCTGAGCCCCCAGAGACACTGAACATGCTCTAATGCCCTCTTGAAATTCACAGTACCCAATCCCAGGTTGTCATAGGAACTAACAGGTTCTATGCTGGTAGGTTTGTGGAGCTGGAAATTATTGTACTGAGCCTGGATCTTCTGTCTGGTGTTTCTAGCACACCTGTCTCCTTGGGGTGGAAACGTTAGGTCAGCCACTGCTGGGGCGTACTTGATGAGTGCCGACGGGCACCGCTCCAGGACGCTCCCAGAGTCCCCCGGGCACAGACAAGGTGCTGTTCCGAGGGTGCTGGCGCTGCTGGAGTCCCAGGTGAGCACGGATGGGGCACTGCCAGACACCCAGCGCACACGGCACTGATAGGGCGTGCAGAGGCTGACGTCCCTTGTGTGAGACTCCTAGAATGAGCAGGGGAGGGAATAGCTTCTATTGGACCCGTTTCTGTAGGTGAGAGAGACAGAGCTTGGCCTCAGGCCTCCTGAAGAGATGTGTGAAAGCTGCTCTCTCTCACCTGCAGACATGGGTCCAATAAAAGCTATTCCCTCCCCCACCTTGTCTCTCTAACATCCTGGGACCCACACGGCTACACTCCGGCTGCTCCTAGAACGGGCTGTTCCGTTTTTGTAACCTCTCTGTGCGTGGTTTCAAAGCTGTTTAGATTCCAGCAGCCGTTCCTCTCAAGAGCACAGTTGCTAGGAGCCAGGGGGCAGCTTGGGAAAGTCTCCCTTTGACAGAGGGACTCAGCCCGGGAGACAGAGGAGAGAAAGGGGTGGAGAGCACTTAGGTTAAAGGAAAAGGGAAACAGGAAAGGATGCTAGCAAACACCCATCAGTCCTGTGGGGGTCCGAGCTCTCAGGATCGGCCCCTGCAGCACTCTCCCTCCCTCCCGGCTGTCCAGGAGATAGGGGAGGTCAGGCGGACTCTCCCACCCAACCTGACTGCCTCACTATTGCCAGATGGGCGACCTGTGGATGGCCTATGAGTCAAAGGTCAAAGGTCGGGGGCAGACCTCTCCCCTCCCACTGAATTCTTCACCCCATATTGAAGGAGTGAACCAGGTTCCAAGGTGCTAGGGTCCCGAGAACATGGAAATTAATGGATACAGTCAGTCCCGTGTGAACGGTATCGGAGGTGACATGGGAGGCAAAGGGAAAAGCTAACCAGCAGGGATGGCCGAGAAGACCTGGGAGAGCAATGAAGAGACCAGGGAGGGTTATTTCTTAGCAGCACCACGGAGGAGGGTTCTGTGTCCCCAGCCAATATATGGTGTTGGATTGGGCCCATGATCTTCGGGGCCCATGGGCTGGCCCCAGCATCCCAACCCCAGGGATCTACACAGCCCACCGGTTTCCCTCTTCCCCTCCATCTGATTCTCCCTGTCACTCATGACCCAGTCGGCATTGTCTAGGGTTAGGGGCCGTGCGTCTCACCGGGAGCCCCTCGCACAGAGCTCTGTGCAGGGGGATGGGACAATGGCACAGCAGCTCCGTCTCGAGCTAGAGAAGTGCGCGTGGGCAGCTGGCAGATTGTCGAGTTCAGCCTGGCAGATAACAGGGGTTGCGTCCACGTCCTTCCCGTGGTTGCACCAGGCGTGGGACAAAGGGGCATAGCTCAGATTGGGAACAGGTAAATGGATGCAGCAAACTATAGCCCTACAACGTGACTGGAGGAACTGTTTTATTTAAGGTGGACAATCGTCCCATGTGCATCAGTGAGGAAGACGTGAGGCTGATTCCCAGCCGTCCAAACAGGACATTTACCCTCTAGTATTCATCACCTTCCTCTTCCTCTCCTCCATCCACACTGTCTGTCCCCACCTCCTCGTAATCCTTCTCCAGGGCAGCCATGTCCTCCCGGGCCTCTGAGAACTCCCCCTCCTCCATGCCCTCTCCCACGTACCAGTGCACGAAGGCCCGCTTGGCATACATCAGGTCAAACTTGTGGTCCAGCCGAGCCCAGGCCTCGGCAATGGCCGTGGTGTTGCTCAGCATGCACACAGCCCGCTGCACCTTGGCCAAGTCGCCACCGGGAACTGCAGTTGGGGGCTGGTAGTTGATACCAACCTTGAAGCCAGTCGGGCACCAGTCCACAAACTGGATGCTGCGCTTGGTTTTGATGGCGGCAATAGCAGCATTGACGTCTTTGGGAACCACGTCCCCGCGGTACAAGAGGCAACAGGCCATGTATTTGCCATGACGGGGGTCACACTTCACCATCTGGTTGGCTGGCTCAAAGCAAGCGTTTGTGATCTCAGCCACGGAGAGCTGCTCATGATAGGCCTTCTCTGCAGAGATGACGGGGGCGTAGGTGGCCAGCGGGAAGTGGATACGGGGGTAGGGCACCAGGTTGGTCTGGAACTCCGTCAGATCTACATTCAGGGCACCATCGAATCGGAGGGAGGCAGTGATGGAGGACACGATCTGGCTAATAAGGCGGTTCAGGTTGGTGTAGGTGGGGCGCTCGATGTCCAGGTTCCTGCGGCAGATGTCGTAGATGGCCTCGTTGTCTACCATGAAGGCGCAGTCCGAGTGCTCCAGGGTGGTGTGGGTGGTCAGGATGGAGTTGTACGGCTCCACCACTGCGGTGGAGACCTGAGGCGCTGGATAGATGGCGAACTCCAGCTTGGACTTCTTGCCATAGTCAACGGAGAGACGCTCCATCAGCAGGGAGGTGAATCCAGAGCCGGTGCCGCCCCCGAAGCTGTGGAAGACCAGGAAGCCCTGGAGCCCCGTGCACTGGTCGGCCTGTGGGGAAAACAGATCAGAGCTCATTAGAGTAAGTACCAGCCAACCCAGGCTGCAGCACAGACATGGCCAAGAAGGACTGAAGTAGAGAACCAGCTGAGGGAGACTTCCCCCATTCCCTGGCCAGCCCACAGGAAGAAGCAGCCCCCGTGTCAGACAGACACCCTCCCCCCACCCCTCCAGCTCCCAGACCCCTGGCCAACTAAAGCCAGCTCTCAAGGCCTCCCCAGGTAAGAGCACCTTCAGCCATGTTTTGTTGGGACTTCCAGTGAGATGCTGGAGCCCTCTTACCAGCTCCTTGGCTGGGCAGAGTGGCGCCCCCCCAAATATCCCATCGGACAGGCTGCATACCAACTTCCGGATCCTGTCCAACACTTGGTCAATGATCTCCTTGCCGATGGTGTAGTGCCCACGGGCATAGTTATTGGCAGCATCTTCCTTGCCGGTGATGAGCTGCTCTGGGTGGAAGAGCTGGCGGTAGATGCCGGTCCGAATCTCATCTGGAAGAGACGAAAGGAGGGGTGTGGGACAGGACTCTAGGCCAGTGGTGCACAAACTTGTCTAGTCATGGTCTCCCTCCTCCCCCCATTAACAGTCTGTCTGTATCCCACCCCCTTGCTGCCAGCCCAGGCTCCTGCCCCAGCCTGGCCTCACTGGGCTGGCTGCTCATGCCCTCTGAACGTTCCTGTGCGCGCCCCACTGACATTAGCAGAGGCTGGTGCACAGAGCTGGCCTGCTAGCGCAGGCGGTGGAGGATGGCTGGCCTCCACCCAACAGGACAGGCTGCCCCAGGCCCTCAGGGCATGGCAGGGGGCCCAGTATGTCACCAACACCAGGAAGTGGTACCCCCTGCCCCGAGGGAGTTCAGTCTAGCCCTGAGCGGATCTGCCAGCTGGGTAGGTCTCTGGGCACCACGCCTGGGTCATGGGTAAGGAGCATCAGTGGACACAGCGCTTCTCATCCTCCGAGCACTCCCCTGCAGCGGGGAAGGCCAGTCCCAGTCCGGGCGGAAGCGCCTGGCACAGAGCTAGGGCAGGGGCTGCCCAGCGGGCAGGAGTGACCAAAGCCGCACTAGCGGCTGCAGTGCATGGCAGTCCAGGAGGCAGACGCGGCTCTAGCCGGGGACCTGAACCTTCACGAGTGAGCAGGGCTCTCCTCCGCCCCACACAGGCGTCTTCACTCACCGATCACGGTGGGTTCCAGGTCCACGAAGATCGCCCTGGGGACGTGCTTCCCGGCACCCGTCTCACAGAAGAAGGTGGTAAAGGAGTCGTCCCCTCCCCCGATGGTCTTCTCGCTGGGCATCTGCCCGTCGGGCTGGATGCCGTGCTCCAGGCAGTACAGCTCCCAGCAGGTGTTGCCCATCTGGACGCCTGCCTGGCCGACATGGACTGAGATACATTCACGCTGCAGAGAGAGAAGAGCCATTGAGGTGCCTCTCCAGGACAGTGGACCCAGAGCCCCATGCCAGTGTTGGTGGCGAGCCCACAGCTCCCCCACACTCCTGGGGGGGGGGGATCTCCGTTCAGTGAAGGCTGCCTGACAGCCCGGGACATTAGTGCCTGCTGGTCAGCACAGCTGGAGAAGGGACCTGGGTTTGGAGACCAGTCCCTCTACCAGCGCCCCCTGCCCCCCCCGGGCATCCCTGCCCCAGAGCAGAGGGAGCCCGGGATTCCATTTCACAGGGGAGGCCGGGCTGCAGCCACTGACTCTGGTGCCCAGCGCTGCAGAGGAAAACGCTGCAGGCGGTGACTGGCTGCCACGCTGCAGCTCCGCACAGACTGCAGGTGTGGGGGAGGAGCACAGCCATCCTCCGCACGCAGAGCAGGCCCTGCCCTAGATCTAGCAGCAGTCACACACCCTGCTGACAGAACCCCCCGGGCCATGCTGGCCACCACTGCAGAGCATTGAGGGAGCTCCCTGCCACAGGGACCGGGCTGGGCACTTGCCCCCTTCAGAGCCAAGGACAGGCATCGAGCGGGGAGGATTAGCGGCCCAGGGAGGGGCAGTGACTCACCCAAGGCCACAGTGCCTCGGTGGCAGAGCTGGGATCGAACTCCTAGGTGGTGCCCAGCCCCCTCGCTGTCCGAGGACTGCAGCAGCCCCTGCCAGCTTACTGCCGGCTCAGGTCGGAGGCTTGGCTGTCCCTGGGCCCGCAGAGCCCGGCCGCTCGCTGCAGCGAGAGGGGAGGAGCCAGCACTGCAGCGGGGCTCCAGCGTCAGGCAGGTGCTGAGCTGACAAGCACATACCTAATGCATGAGCTACAGTCCCACCCACCTCGCTGCTCCCAGCCAGCCTGGGCACGCGCCGTTCCCAACCCCACGGGAACCCAGCGCGGGCAGGGCTGCAGGGACATCAGCAGAGCTGCAGGGAGGCTGCCCAGTACCCACCAGGGCTGTAATGGGCAATAAGGCCCTTCTGCCCAGAAGCACAGAGCTGTGCCCCCCCTCCCCCTCCCCAGGGCTGCGAGGGCCCAGGCTGGGCTGTGGGGAGGGGACGACAGGGGCAGTGGGCTCAGCTGTGCCCACAGCACAGGGGCTGTTCGCACAGAGCCGGCTGCATCGGGTGGGCGCTGGGGGCAGGGGCACAGCTCTGCTGCACGGCCGATGACATGGACACTGCCTTGCTCCCCCCAAACTGTGGGGGATGCAGAACCTCCCTTTCCTAAACACTCCCCTTCCCCCCTGGGCTCCTGCCCCATAGCAGCTCTGACCCCCAGGCCTGCAAGGCCAGACAGAGGCCTCTGGTCACTCAGGCCCTCCCCCACCCACCCACCCACAAGCAAGGGAGCCAGCTGTACCAGCGATGGGGCTCCCAGGGAGGGGGGCACAAGCAGGCTCCAGCCCTCAGGAGCAGCAGGGGAGCCCTAGCAGGTCTGGGATGGGGGCCTGGATTCCTACAGCAGCCAGAGGTCCAAGCCAGTGCGGCCCCTCCGCAGCATCCGCCCCAAACTCGAGATGTTTCTGGGGAAGCCACAAGGAGGAAGCACCCAGCTCTGTGCAGCTGCCACCTCACAGCAGCCCTCGCCCAGGCCCCAGCTGCATTTCCCCTTCTCTGCTCGCAGCCCACGGAGGCCTCTGCTGCCCCTATCACCCACCGGGTCCCCACCAGGGCGGCAGTGCCAGAGCGCTCGATGGACCTACACCGACCCCAGCCTCCAGTCACGCCTCAGAGCCCGGCCGCTGGAGCCGTGCCACTCTGCAGCCCGTTCCGGCTGGTCCCAGGATCGGTCTCTGCCGCGGAGCGACGCCCTGCAGGGCGGGGGTGACAGTTCTCCCAGAGGTGCGGGATTCACACTGGAAGTAGGGGGCTGTGGGTCAGGATTGAGGGGCATCAGCAGAGCTGGTGACATTCTCCAGGCCGTGCCAGCGCTGAACCCGAGCGGGTGACACCAGCTCCAGCTCCCAGCCTGTTCATACCGCCCCCGCCCCGCCCCGGGGGGAAGTCACCGCTCCACTACGCAGCAGAAATTTGAAAACACACAGACCAACCAGGAAGGGTTGTGAAATCACCAGCCCCACCCTCCAGCCTCGCACAGCCTCCATCGCCACCAGCCAGACAGTCACTCCCGCCATCCGCACTGGGGGGGGCAGGAAACCCCCTTGCCCAGGAGCTGATAACCCCTGCGGCCAGGGCTGTAACGGGACCCCTGTGCCACTGCAGCACGGGTGCCCCCGGCAGCGAGGAGACCCAGCTTTGGGTGCATGGAGCTGGGTTAGCCCGTGGGCCTGGACTCCGCCGTGGAGGGGGCAGGGGTGTCTAGCTGCACTCACGCTCTGCCCCGAAGGGCTCCCAGGCAGGGCAGGGCACAGCTAAGGGGGCAGAGGTGGCACACAGCCGTGCCCGTGCCCTTGCATGGCTCCTTCAGGGGCGCAGCCCGAGTCCAGACAGACAGGAAACGCTGGTGGGAAGTGGGGCAGGTGCCGAGTCTCCTCGGAAGGTGCCAGGCGCAGGCCGCGGCCTCGCCACGAGGCGGGAAAACCGGCTCAGCCACTGGCCAGGCAGCAGCCCAGGGTGTCGCCTGGAGGGCCCTTCCCCAAGGCACGGGGCGGGGGGGCTACTCCCTTAAAGCCTGCCCCCCCCAGCTCATTCACACTCCCTGAAACACCAAACAGAGCCCCCGCAGCGTGCCCCCCACAAGACAGGGCTGCCATTACCTAGTTTGGACAGGAGCCCGGCCAGGCTATTTCCAGGAGAGCCCCCAGCCTATTAATAACCCCCCCCAGACACAGCCACACCCCCCCCCCCCCCCCCCCCCCCCGGCCCTCCCGAGGCCCGCCGGGCCCCCATACCCCCCCC